GCATGTCAAACCCATCTGTAGCTTAAGGGTCAAACAGGGATTGTCACTCACTAAATTGGCTCGCCATTAAGTCTTGTGATCGCCTTCGTATGAAATTGTTTTTTATGTTGTTGTTGTTAAGTCCGTGTTTTGCTAGTCCACGTTTTACTAGTCCGAGTTTTACTAGTCAGCGTTTTACTAGTCAGCATTTTACTAGTCCGCGTTTTACTAGTCCGCGTTTTACTAGTCCGCGTTTTATTAGTCCGCGTTTTACTAGTCCGCGTTTTACTAGTCCGCGTTTTACTAGTCCGCGTTTTACTAGTCCGCGTTTTACTAGTCCGCGTTTTACTAGTCAGCGTTTTACTAGTCCGCGTTTTACTAGTCCGCGTTTTACTAGTCCGCGTTTTACTAGTCCGCGTTTTACTAGTCCGCGTTTTACTAGTCCGCGTTTTACTAGTCCGCGTTTTACTAGTCCGCGTTTTACTAGTCCGCGTTTTACTAGTCCGCGTTTTACTAGTCCGCGTTTTACTAGTCCCCGTTTTACTAGTCCGCGCTTTACTAGTCCTCGTTTTACTAGTCCGCGTTTTACTAGTCCGCGCTTTACTAGTCCGCGTTTTACTAGTCCAGTCCGGTCCAGTCCAGTCCAGTCCACGCAATACCATATGCCTAGTTGAAGGGTATCTGTCAAGGGAAAATTAATAGATTTTCTCGCCCGACAAAAAATTGTAGGCCCCAAAAAGTAGTTGACGGCATCTTTGAAGTTTGGTGGCTCTCGCGAAAATTTTGGTGGGTCAAAAAAATCGTTCGCACTGATAATTGTTTCGCGTTGACAGATTTTTTTGCAAAACAAACAAAATTACGCGTAGTGCGAACAGGCCCTAAAGCTCTATATATTACAGGAGAGGTGTGCTCATGGAACCATGTAAAATTTACTTTAATAACTGAAATAGTTGACTGTGTTTTAAGCTTCCAAAGAGGGTCTTTGATTTTATTTTGAAAATTGTTAAAAAATATGATTCGACCTAACTGACTCCAACGTTCTGAATCGTGCTTAGTATCGTGGCCAATTATCTGGTTTTTCGTAGGGCTTTCAGTTTTTGTATCGAGGATGGTGTAATTTAAGAAAATTATGTTAGAATTGGCAAGCCTATGAACATCTACTTTTTTACCTCTAAGAATTTGTGTTACGTATTTATTCTTCCAGGAATGCTACCAAACACTTATCATGTACCTTCTGAGGATTGTTCATTATTTTGATGCCGCTATAAATATCTAGCCGATGAAGCCTGTCATTCATTCGTTTCATTCGCAAAATGAATTGTATGAAGAAAGAGTCCGAAGGGAAAGATTACAGTATAACCCCATACCAATCAAAAACAAAGCCGTAATCCCAAAGGTAATTGATTTGTTGTTTTGCCTCTGCTTTCTTTTTCCCAAGAATTATGTGCATAATAAAGTACGGGATTATACGGAAATCTTGCCGTTGGAAGCTTTAGCGAGACAGTGTGTATCATTCTGTATCAAAGAAAAATGAGTTTTTACGTCTGATGCTAAGTGCTGCCGGCAGTTCTGCGTTCTTAGCGCCTCGGACGTTATCGTGGAAAAGCAAAGAAAGTTCGAAAGAGCGCGGATGAGTGCACAAATGACATGCAATGTTGACTGTGGGGAAGAAAGCGTGCCGGATGATTGAGAATTCACATGAATTCCCACAGAAATTCAGATTAGCCACATCTTAGCATTCTGTCCCGTTCCATCKGGAAGGCTTTTTCGAGAGGGAGAAACATCAGTTTAAGGTTTGTACGAATGTATTTTGTACCCCTAGGCTTATTAGTCCATTCGTCCAGTTTAAGAGAGTTTAAATGCTTGTAAGAAACGTGATTTGTTATCTTACTGACACCAGTCATCATCTAAAACGCTAAGTGATGAACAAGTATTTCATTTCGGCAGAGAGTGTATCACTTAAAGTTTGTGAGATAAATTATTGATCGGCATTAAACTTCAACACACCGTCCAAATAATTTTTAAACCACTCAATGGCATAAAGTATTCACGAAATTTCAATATTCCGCTGCTCGGAAGGAAAGTGACACACTCCGTTGATTTTCAAAGTTAAGCGAAACTGTTAAATTAATCTCCGCTGCTAGATCTGCCCATAGTTAATCGAGGGGGGTTAGGGTTAGTCCCCTCGATTAACTATGATCTGCCGGAAAAGCTGACTTTTTGAGTTAAAACGTTGATGATCGAAGAAAATAATGTACCATAATAGAATGCTACGTGTTCCTGAATGCGACTGCTCAGCCACAGGGAGTACCTTAAAACAATGACTGCCTTGAAGTACTCTGAATAATGGATTTGAGAAAACCTCATTCAATTTAACTAATAGAACTGATGATCTAACAATTTTTTCGCTTCCGGATTAGCGATTTGCCTCGAATTTTGAAACCTACACAATAATAGAAGGTATTATCACAAATCGAGAGATCTAGAAGCATTTCAAATCTAAAGACATGAAAATAATGACTTGTAATAATCACGTTCCGATTCGGTGGTTTCCCATGACTGCCAAAACTTTGAGGCTGCTAAAGAATCCTGGAGATTATCGTGCTCCGCATTTTCTTACAACTTTATGAAGTATTGAAAGTTTATACAAAGAAGTGCTTTACCTATAGACAGCCACCGCACGTGTAGTTTACTTACTTTATTGGACGAACATCCTTCGCACAAAGTTAATCAAATTCTCTAGGAGGCCTGACGAGGGATCATAGACCAGAACGAGTTAAAAGTGGCACGATATCAAGGAGGATAAATACTGGGTAGAGTTTCTTAAATTCCCCTGGCATCTTGGCACAGACATCAACCCTGAAAGGCCAAATAGGTTGTTAACGCCAAAAAAAATTATAAATAATTGGCCCAAGTAGTAATTTTCCTGCTCACAGATGAAATATGTAAATCAAAGTGGTGAGCAAGATCTTGCTGAAAACTTGCATAACATAAGTTTCAGCTTAACGCAAGTTAGTAAAACCTAGGGTGCCAAATGTTATAGTGCAGAGTCAAATAGTGAAACATGCATGACATTAAATAGTTTTCGTGAGGGCTATGTAGAAAGTTGTAGCGTTACAGCAAAGGATTTGCGCCGAATTCTAGCGGCCCTTATCGATTGTGCTGTTAATAGTAGCATATTATGCTACAAGCAGTGCCCCGACTTTTTTTTCCAGATTATGCTCAAAATTATGCTCGATTGTGGAAATCATGCTACTTTTTCCTAATGTATGCTTAAAAATAAAAAACACAAAACTAGTAGATCGAATAGCCAAAATTAGATATTTATTGTTAATAAAGCATCATGTTTTCTATACCGTGAGTTACACACTCGCTCTGATAAAACACAACCAACTACTGCACTTCATTCCAGACTATAAGTGATGACTTAATGTGTCAAAATGTACGATGTGCGATGATGGATAGCGTGCTGTCTTGATGACTAGCTCTTCTCTCGAGTGTGTGCTTCGGTAATGGTCTGTTCTCTCAACTTCGATTTCTTGATCTTTTCTTCTCCATTGGTGTGTGTTTTGGAAGCACAAAGGGATGACAAAATGCTTTTCTTTGATGAAACAACTTCTCTGCAAGCAGAGTAAAATATCGTGTTGCTTTTAATACTTAGATGCTGACCTGGAAACTGATTGATGCAATCATGTAGTGGGACTGTGAGATGCCCCACCCCCCGTGTTCTTTTTGCTAGTGGTTTTTCTTCTTTTTTCGTTCTTCTGATCTCTAGGAATTTGAGCAGGTTCTGCCCTATCAGGCAGCTGTTCTCCTCAGTTCTCAGTTGCTCGACGCCATTTTGTTGCTTGTGAAAGAGGGAACTAGGACGGACGCAATCTTTACTTCCGGTGTGCCCAGTCCTCCAGACGACCAACGACACAGTATTGCGGTAACCTTCTTCCCCTCCCCCAGAAGAATGAAAATAGACTGAGCCATGGACAAAACTCAAAAATAATTCATCTTAGAGACCAAACAAGTCGTGAATCTGGTAACGTTCCCTTCAAAAAGCTATAAGTATGGCGATTATGCTAGGAGTACTACTTTTAGAAAAAGTGCAAAAATTATACTCATTTTTGCAGATTATGCCAAAACTTATGCTGGCACTATCGATAAGGGCCTGCCGTAATCGCCAAAAATACAAAGGAGAAATGGATGAGTAAACGTTGGATTGGAACAGACAATGAATATGTGTGGTCTCACGTCATTCTCAGTGAATTTTGCACCAGATTTTCCGCATCGACAGTTTATTAATGTCTTCTGCACGTAGTTCTTTTATTTGAAAATTTTCTTACAATTTTCACCTGCGGATCGGCAATTAAACAAGAATATTGTAATTTGCACTGAATTTCGACATAAAATCCTGGGATAAATGGCATAGGCTGCGGAGAGCGTGACAAGCGCTCCTATTTTGAGGCGATGGAAAAAGTGAAGCTCGACTTAACACGTTCCGAATCGGAGATGTCTTTCGTTTGGGAAAAATTTAAGAGTTGTCCATCATCCAGAAAGATCATCTCGTTTTGCATCTTTCGGTCACCCGTATAAAGACTGCAGGATCGATGCAACGGGATGTTGTTTGTATAGCGAGTCAAAATGTATGAAATGATAGACGCGAGGCTCATGTAATATATTTTAACTAAATAATTCGCATAGTATTAAGCAATTGTACCCACATGGATTATGGGCGGTGATAGTGAGCGTTACGCGATAACCAAAACGCCTAATCATAAATATTTGCATCCGCATAAAGTAACACTCTAGTAATCTGTAGCTGATTTGTTTTCAGTAGCAGTGATGCCGCAGGAAAAAGGTTACAGGAAAATCTCCAATGTAGAGAACAAAGAAGAAGTCAAAGAAGTTAGCTTTCTGTCCACTCTTCTCTTTCAATGGATGAACAGTGTTTTCAAGACAGGTAGTGAACGGCCTTTAGATCAGGATGACTTTTTATCATTGTCCGAAGAAAACTCGGCCCGTTCTTCGACCGATAAACTTCAAGAGAGTTGGAACAAGGAGAGAGATAAATGCAAAAAGAAGGGAAAAAGACCCAAGCTTTGGAAAAGCGTGTTGAGGATGATGACTGTCAACGATCTCTTAGTTGTTGTATTCGGGAACGCTTTACATGCAGCTTATCATCTTCTTAGTCCATTGCTTCTTGGATATCTTGTGTCCAAATTAATGTCAGCAACAACAGAAGAAAATTTTCCTCTCTATGTCTGCGCTTTGATATTGTTTTTCAATGCGGTGATTGGAACCCTTGGTATCCATCACATGGGCTACAGGACTGAACTGTATGGGATCCGAGTGAGTAGTGCACTCCGGGGTTTGGTGTACCGCAAGGTAAGGAAAACTCATTAAACCCTTTTCACTTGACATTGACGATTCACTTGATTTTGATAGTTTGTTAAGGCGGTAGACCCTCGCGGGTCAAATTTTGCCTTTTTTTCACCCCAAACAAAGCATTACTATTTTAACTACAGTTTCCAAAAAACAAAAATTATTCAAAAATATCGAAACGCACTCGAGTTAGTTACAGAACGTTTTTTCAAACTGAATTATTTGAGCCGCCAATGTGTGAAAGGCCAATTATGTGTTAGCACAAATGACTCCCGTGATGTTTTGCGCGGCAGAACATCCGGGGTAGTTAGTCGCCTGAACAGTTAAGTCGCCTTACCTTATCCTTTGTAAAATTCCGCCCTCTCATATGAATACCTCGAAAAGTTTTACAAAGGATTTAGATGCAAGGCGAGATCTCGGAAACCGGGCCAGCCCGGTTAACCGGGCTCATACAACGAGGCCCTTAAACCGACAACTGGAGGGAAATTAATTGTAATTATGGTTCATAGAACCAAGTAATGTTTTTTAAGCGACAAACATCGGTGTGTTTATATCGTTGCACTGCTTATTGGACAACTCGATTTCAATGAATCGGGTATAAAATTTAATGACTTTAAAAAACAAAGTCAAGCGCTTTTTCTATTCAAGCGCTTTTTCTAGCCAAGTTATAAAGTTATTTTTGCATTCGTCACAGTTTTTGTGCTTCCTTACTCCGACACTCTTGGAACGTCCATGGCAGTACAAAATTGCTCTACCGTCACTTTGAAGGCTTCCGAAGGGGACACAAGAGAAATTACAAATGTTTTATTGTGAATGAGACTTCATAAATTCTATACTAAATGGATATGTACCATCACTGACCTCTCTGATTTCCCCTTTTTACGTCACCCGGTTCAATATGCTTAATAAATGCTCAGTCTGTGTCTGGTTTTAAAAGTAGATTAAAACCTTTTTTTTTAGAAAAGCCTTTTATAATTAATATTAGCTGTCTTAAGTGTTAATGTTAAAGTTTTTGTAGGGGCTTTTGAACAGTAGGATACTGGCGCGGTATAAATCTTTTATTATTATTATTATTATTATTATTATTATTATTATTGTTTAGAGCGGGGATTTAGTGGATTTTGTGGTCCACTCCTGACACCACGTAACATACTGAAGCCGTGTTGTTAATTTCGGCCTTGTGGGCATGCGATACAAATATAAACCGCTGGCCGGTATCGGCCGCTTACATTACAATTTCATGTTATCCTTTTTTCCCTTCCAATTCATCTCTCTGCCCATCAATAAAGTTACCATTTCCAATTTTTCATTTCAACCACTTTCTCATTCCTTTTGTACCCTGGTATGCTTGAAGCGGCTGGGTCTCTAAAATGAATGGGTGTGATCATGATTTTGTTTTTGTCTGGGATGAAAACAAAAGTTTACCTATCATATATTGATTGCTCTATTTTAGAGAGAGATCGCTCAATGCTGTTCCCAGATTACTACTTTTTTGCTGAAAGACGTTTAGTAAGCCATACAATCGAAACTAAATACGTCAAGGACTTGGAATACTGTGAGCTTTTCTGCTACAT